GAACTCATGGTCAGCATTGGGCACCGTAATCCGCTGGCTCGTTTTCTTGCTGGAAGGATGTATAGAAATCTAGAATTCTCCTGTAGGGATTCTAAGACATTTGTGACCCACCATCTTTTTTCAGTCTAATGATCCAAAATTTGAAATTGTTTTTACGTTGGATAAAAGTACAGAATCAGAGCTTCAAAATGGCATATCATACATTGTAGTTGGAGGAAACATGGAGAAGCAATGCCGCTTTAAAAGTTGACACTTGTGTAGCAAAATTTGAAAGGGTGTTTTTTACATTGGATAAAAGTAGAGACTCAGAGCTAGAAAATGGTATATCATACACTACAGTTGAGGAACAATGGGAAAGTAATTATATTTTGAAAGTTGATAAACTTGTAAGCTTACTTTTGAGAAAATGATCCTTGAATGTTTTGGTACCTACTGGAGAGCTCTTCTTTGTCTACACCCATTCAGCATCGTTCACACGCGTTCATAGTGCGTATGTTATTGTGTGCTTGTATGCATGTGTCTGTGTTGCTTCACAGTCCCCGCTGTTCCATAAGGTGTATTTTTATCTGTTTTATAAATCAACATGTTACTGCTGGCATCAGTTACTTGATGTGGAATAGAGTTCCATGTAGTTATGTCTCTATGTAGTACTGCAGAGCTGGTTAGGCTGTTTTTATGTTATCCAGTGTGTTGGTGACTGCAACGGTGCTGCTGGCAACAATTTAATTATGCTTTTTGCTAATGTTTACTGACACGGCCATATTCAATGGGTGTTGAGCGTTCGTAAATTTGTCAGTTATTCTGCACTCTGGCACACTCAGACGAGAGTGCTCTGAAATCGGAGTAGATAGCCAGAGCGAATTTAACAGCTACGTCTATCAACACTTGTTGCCGTGACAGCATGAAACATTCTATTGAAATGGTTACTTGCATAGTGGAGTCTTTTGATAAGACATGTAGCTAGCTAGCTAAACAATTAACCATAATCCCAACTCATAACGTTACTACCCTGCATTAATCTGCAGGTAGCTAACCAACCAGGTTCAATGTTAGCTAGCTAACAAATATAACTAGCAATGCAAATGGCTCTGAGATCCGAATAATATTACTACACAGATCATACATGTAACGTTAGCTAGCTAACTTGAAATCGACTGACAAAATTAGAAACGTGTAATATCTCAAAATGTAGCTAGCTAATCTTACCCGTCTACATTTACCAGTCTACATGGATGGACGCTTCTCCCTCTCTGTCACAGATGCCATGGTTGCCCTTAGTTTGAAGATGTAATCCAGAGACAGGTGTTTTAAACAACAGCCTTCTGTGTGTTCTCTTTTCAACTCCGTCTGCATATTTGCAATCAAACGCCAGAATCTCCTTAGCTATCATACACTAAGTCCACTGATTTCAAAACTCTGTCCTCCAGAAAGTGGAGAGCAACACTTATGCAGTTCTACTACGTGACATCTTTCAAAAAAGCCATGTTAGAAAGGATTACCTACACATACTGACCAGCTCATGTTATGGACAGAAGCGTGCTACATTGCAGACCAATCCGAACTCATCTCTCGGCATGTCCAGCCCACTCATTATCTCAGCCAATCATGGCTAGCGGGAAGGTTGCTGTCTTTTTCCATGGCTAAACCAACTAGGCTCTTAAGTTAACCATTTTATTTGTATTTACAGATAGAATACAAGTTTGTTATGAAGGCACATGAAAGTTCACATGTTCCAGAAGGCTTTTCTGCCAAAAACACGCATTTTGATAAAAAAGTGTTCAAATGTCTTTCCTGTGAAGTATTGACGTGCGACATACGACTAGTTTCCTGAAACGAGTCACATTTTGTTGTGTTTTCACGCTCTACATTAATCCTTGGGAAACATTTCGAAAAGGAATACTTTCCCCCAAATAGCCAAAATGGATTCTCTGAACATTCTCACCAGGTTACCCCGTTAGGCAAACCATTAACAGTATATTGCCTATTGTTTTATAATAAAGATAACCTTTCACATTGACCAGCTACAATACTATTCTTTGTTTACGCCCATTTAACATCGTTCACATCCTCTAAAGCTGTTGATGAAAAATGTTTTGCTTTCAAATGCATCTCCTGTGAAGTAGTGACGTGCGTCATACGCCCAGCTTTCTGTAACAGGTCACATCAACCATATTCAAAATGTTATTAAAGTCAGATACACTATAACACACACAGGCATGAGCTCAGAAACATTCATTTAGTTGCATCAAAAAGGCCTCTCCACCATAGCTAGCTAGTTCACTACGTTAGCTAATCAAACCAATGCCTCAAATTAGTGCCGAGAAAGTTCGAATGCCCCTGTGTGAATAAGTAAATTGCCTCCTTACACTCAATAACTGGTTGTGCCACCTTTAGCTGCAATGACCAACTAAACGCTTCCTGTAGTTGTTGATCCGTCTCACGTCACTAAGGAATGCAGTACTTGGTTTTCACCAGGCATAACAGGACCCGTGTCATCCAAAAAGTTACTTTTGAATCTGTCCATCAAACATTCTTCCAAGAGTCTTGATCATCCAGATGATTTTTGGATGACATGGGTCCCATTATGCCTGGTGAAAACCATGTACTGCCTTCCACAGTAAGAACCTCATACCAACGGTCAAGCATAGTGGTGATGGTTTGGGGATGCTTTGCTGCCTCAGGACCTGGACGACTTGCCTTAATAGAAGGAACAATGAGTATCAGAATTCCTACAGGAGAATGTCAGGACATCCGTCTGAGCTGAAGCGCAGCAAGACAATGAGCCAAAACACAATCAAATCAAAAAATCAAATCAACAAATCAAATCTACATTAAAATCGATAAAAAGCAACACGTTTTGGAAATCCAGACCTCATCCAGAACTCATCCAATAACAAGAAAATGTGGAAAAAAGTTAAGCGTTGTGACTACTTTCTAAAGGCACTGTGCGTGTACACACACACACGATCATTGCTAGACAACCATATAAACGAATTGTCCAAAACGCTTGAGATATCAACAGCCCCCGTTCTCACTCTTAATGACACAGAAATCAAATGCCTAGTCAAAATCCAGACCTAATCCCAATTGAGAAGTGGCAGGGCTTGAAAACCCCCAAATGTCACTTATTTAAAGCAGTTCTGCATGCAAGAGTGGGAAAAAATTCCTCCATAGCGAGACTGATAAACAACTACAGGAAGCATGTGGTTGCAGTTATTGCAGCTAAAGGTGGCACAACCTGTTATTGAGTGTAAGGAGGCAATTACTTTTTCACTGGGGAATTGGGTGTTGTATAACTTTAAATAAAATCTTATCGAAGACCGGTTTTGGTTGAAGATCTGATAACATTCAGTATCAAAAATATGCAAAAAGAGAAAATCAGAAAGGGGGCAGATACTTTTTCACGGCCCTGTACAATAACATAATTCCGCAACAGTTTCATTACATTTACATTTTAGTCATTTAGCAGACGCTCTTATCCAGAGCGAATTACAGTTAGTGAGTGCATACATTTTCATACTGGCCCCCCGTGGGAAACGAACACACAACCCTGGCGTTGCAAGCGCCATGCTCTACCAACTGAGCTACACAGGGCCTGATCAAACAGAAGTAGAACGTCAAGTCTATTCTTACAGTATTAGCTACTCTAACATTATTTGGAGACTCATCACAAAATTGTGTGTCCAGGCAATGTTGTTCTGCACTAAGATGGCTGTTCACTGATGTCGCCTGATGTTTTCTGACAATTGTGTAATTAATAAACAACTTTGCTATTTGAAATGCAAGCAGCAGGTGATGAGACCAGTTACAGAAAGCATTACAATCCATCAGGTCAACCTTACCAACATGATTGTAATTCAGTCATCAGTACTATTCATATTCACCTACTGGACCTCCTTAGCACAAACAAGAATATGAAACAAAGATTATTCACTTTATTTTAAATGATGATGTAATGGTGGATGAATCACACATTGTTAAATGTGGTAGCAGCAATATGTCTGTTTACATCCATCAGCCCAATCACCAAAGACTGCTATAGTAGAGGGAAGAGTTACAAAGAAAGGTGGAGGGCTAGACTGCTATAGTAGAGGGAGAGAGGTTACAAGAGGAAAGGGTGGAGGGACTAGAAATGCTATGGTAGAGGAGAAGGTTACAGAGGAAAGGTGGGGCATAGGAAAGGTTAAAGGAAAGGGGGGGACTAGCTGCTATAGTAGAGGGAGAGAGGTTAAACAAAGAGGGAGAGAGTTCCCAAAAAATAAAGGGGGGGCCCCGGGGAAAAATTTTTTTTTAAAAAAAAACCCCAAAAAATTTTTCCCCAGAAAAAAAGAAAAAAAATGGGGGTTTTTTGGTTTTTGAAAAGTTTTTTTTTTTTGGAAAAAGTTTTTAAAAAAATTTTGGGGCACAAAACCAAAAAAAGGGGTTTTTTGAAAAGGGTGTAAAAAGGAGAAATTTTTTACTTTTTTTTTCCCACTTGGGGAGGGTGTTGTTTCCAAATTTTCCTATCGCCGTTTTTTTTTAAAACAATTTTTTAAATAAAAAAATTAAAAAAAGGAAAATGAACAAAATACATTTACAAACATAATTTCCCAAATTCCAACTTTAATTTTATCTTTTAGTTTTTTAAGTCCCCAAAAAAGGGGGTTTTTTCCTTCCCCGCAAACAAAAAAGGGGGCAAAGAAATTACAACCCTTTAAAATTTTAAAGAGGAAAGGGGGAACTAACCTTTTTTTTAAAGGGGAAGAACAAAATTTGGGGCCCAAATAAACAATTTCCCGGGAATTTCCCGCATAGAAGGGGGGGGGGGGGGGGGAAGCGTATATTGGGGAAGTTCGGGAAAGGGGAATAAAACTGCTATTAAGGAGGGGTAAAAAAAGGGGTGGAAACTCCTTTTAAGGGAAATTACAAAGAAAGGGGTCTAACTTATATAAGGGAAATTTAGACAAAAAAAATAAAACCAAAGTAAAAATTAAAGAAAAAGGGGGGAGGGATAACCCTTTTTAAATGGGGGGAGCCAAAGGAAAGGGGAACAACTGCTATAGTAGGGGGGAAGGTTAAAAGGAAAGGGGGAGGGCTAACTGCATGTAGAGGGAGAGGGGGTAAAAGGAAAGGGTGGGGGGGACTGCTAAAAGGGGGAGAGAGGTTCAAAGGAAAGGGGGGGGGAAGACTGCTATGAAAGGGGAAGAGGTTACAAGGGGAAAAAGGGGGGGGACTGCTATAGTAGGGGGAGAGGGTTAAAAGGGGAAGGGGGGGGAACTGCAAGTAGAGGGGAGAGAGGTACAAGGGAAAGGGTGGAGGGACTAACTCTATAGTAGGGGAGAGTTTTACAAAAAAAAGGGTGGGGGACTAACTGCTATGTAGAGGGGAGGGGTTCAAGAGGAAGGGTGGAGGGCTAGACTGCTATTTAGAGGGGAGGGGTTAAAAGGGAAAAGGGTGGAGGGCCTGCTTTTAAAAGGGGAGAGGTTAAAAAAGAGAAAGGGTGGAGGGACTGCCTATGTAAGGGAGAGGGGTTTAAAAAGGGGAAAGGTGGGGAAGACTGCATGAAAGGGGGAGGGGTTAAAAAGAGAAAGGGTGGAGAAAGCTGCATAGTAAGGGAGAGGGGTTAAAAGGGAAAGGGTGGGGGCTAGACCTATAGTAAGGGAGATAGGTTACAAGGAAAGGTGGAGGACTAGACTGCTATATAGAGGGAGAGAGTTACCAGGGAAAAGGGTGGGGGGACTGACGCTAATAAGGGAGAGGTTAAAAAGGGGAAGGTTGGGGGACTCTATATGGGGAGAGGTTTAAAAAGGGGAAGGGGTGGAGGGACTCTATAGTGGGGGAGAGGGGTTAAGAAAAAAGGGGTGGGGGCTCTTAGAAAGGGGGAGGGGGTTTAAAAAAAAGGGGAAAAGGGTGGAGGACTAACTCTATGGTAAGGGAGAGAGTTTACAAGAGGAAAGGGGGGGGGAACTAACTGCATTAGGGGGAAGGTTAAAAGGGGAAAGGGTGGAGGGCTAACTCTATTTAAGGAGGAGGTACAAGGGGAAAAGGGGGTGGGGGGACAAACCCTTATGAAGGGGAGAAGGTTTACAAGAAAAAGGTGGGGGGAAGACTCTAGGTAGAGAGAGAGGTTCAAGAGGAAAGGGGAGGACTAATGCTATGAAAGGGGGAAGGGGTTACAAGGGGAAAGGTGGGGGGGCTAACTCTATGGAAAGGGAGAGGTTAAAGGAAAGGGGGGGGGGGACTAACTGCTATAAAAAGGGGGAAAGGTTACAGGGAAAAGGGTGGAGGACAAACTGCTATGGAGAGGGAGGGGGTTTACAGGGGAAAGGGGTGGAGGGACTGACTCTATAAAAGGGAGAGATTCAGAAAAAGGGGTGGAGGGAAGACTGCTTGTTAAAGGAAGAGGTTACAAGAAAGGTGGAGGGATAGACCTTTTTGGTGGGGGAGAGAGGTTACGGGAAAAAGGTTTGGGGGGAAAACTGCTAATTAGGGGGAAAAGGGGTTACAAGAGGAAATGGGGGGCGACTCATGTAAGGGGGAGAGGTTAAAAGAAAAAGGGGGAGGGACTAACTGCTTGTAGGGGGAGAGGGGTTACAAAAAAGGGGTGGAGGACTAGACTGCTATGTAGGGGGGAAGGTTACAAAAAAGGGGTGGGGGGACTAACTTCTAGGAGGGAGGAGGTTAAAAGAGAAAGGGGGGGAAATGCTATAAAGGGAGAGTTAAAAAAAAAGGGTGGGGGGAAGACTCAAAGTAGGGGAGGAGGTTAAAAAGGGGAAAGGGGGGGAGGCTAACGCTATGTTAAGGGAGAATTAAAGGGGAAAAGGTGGGGGGGCTAACCTTGTAGAGGGAGATTTCCCCAAGGGGAAAGGGGGGGAGGACTAAACTGCTAGGAAAGGGGAGAGGGGTTTTACAAGAGAAAGGGTGGGGGGACTAGACTGCATGTAAGGAGAGGGGTTAAAGAGAAAGGGGGGGGGACTAGACTGCTTGTAAGGAGAGGTTAAAAGAGGAAAGGGGGGAGGACTGCTAGGGTAAGGGAGAGGTTACAAAGGAAAGGGTGAATAACTGCTTAGTAAGGGAGGATTTCAGAGGAAAGGGGGAGGACTAGACTCTTGTAGGGGGAGAAGGTTACAAAGGAAAGGGGGGAGGCTAACCTTGTAAGGGAGAGAGGTTCAAGGGGAAGGGTGGGGGACAACTGCTATGTAGGGGGAAGAGGTTAAAAGGGGAAAGGGGGGGGGACTAATGTTTAAGTAAGGGGAGATTTTTAAAAGAGGAAAGGTTGGAGGGACAGACTGCTATGTAAGGGAAGGTTACAAAGAAAGGGGGAAGATCTTGTAGAGGGAGGGGGGTTCAGAGGAAAAGGGTGGGGGAAGACTCTATTAAGGGAAGGGTTTCAAGAGGAAAGGGGGGAGGGCTAGACTCTTGGGAGGGAAAAGGTAAAAAGGGGAAAAGGGGGAGGGATGCTATAGTGAGGGAGAGAGGTTAAAAAGGGGGGTGGGGGACAAACCCAAAGTGAGGGAGAGAGGTTCAAGGAAAGGGTGGAGGATAATGCTATGGAGGGGGAGGTTCAAGGGAAGGGGTGGGGGGGCAACTGCAAGGTAGGGGGAAAGGGGTTCAAGGGGAAAAGGGTGGGAACCATAGAGAGGAGGATTTTAAAAGAAAAAAAGGGTGGAGGGCTAACGCTATTAGGGGGAGAGGGGTTACAAGGGGAAAAGGGGGATAACTCTATTAGGGGGAGAAGGTTAAAAAGAGGAAAGGGTGGGGGGACTTGCTATAGTAGAGGGAAGGTTACAAGAGGAAAGGGTGGGGGAAACTCTATTGTAAGGAGAGAGGTTACAAGGGGAAAGGGGTAGGGCTAGACGCTAGTAGAGGGAAGAGGTTAAAAAGGGGAAAAGGGTGGAGGGCTGCTATGGTAAGGGAGAGAGGTTCGAGAAAGGGTGAGGACGTTTATAGAGGAGAGGGGTTTTAAAGAGGAAAGGGTGGGGGGAAGACGCTAGGGAGAGGGAGAGAGGTTACAATAGGGAAAGGGTGGAGGGGACTAGCTGCTATTTGAGGGAGAGGTTTCAAAGGAAGGGTGGGGACTAACTCAAAATTTAGGGGAGAGGGTTTACAAGAGAAAGGGGGGGGGGGCTTATTAGAGGGAAAAGGGTTAAAAAGGGAAAAGGGTGGGGGGACTAACTCTTTAAAAGGGGGGAAAGGTTAAAAAGAAAAAGGTGGGGGGACTGACTGCTATGTAAAGGGGAAGGGGTTCAAAGGAAAGGGTGAGGGCTAGCTCTATGTAGGGGGGAGAGGGGTTTCAAAGAAAGGGGGGAGGGACTAGACGCATGGAAGGGGAGAGGTTACAAAGGGGGGGGGAAAGACTCTATGTAGAGGAAAGTTACAAAAAAAAGGTAGGGCTGACTCTATGTAAGGGAGAGGTTACAAAAGGAAAGGGTGGGGAAGACTGCATAGTGGGGGGGAAGAGGTTAAAAGGGGAAAAGGGGTTGGAGGGTTTGTATATAGGGGGAAAAGGGGTTCAAAAAAGGGTGGGGGGAAACTCTATATTTGGGGGAAAGGTTACAGGGAAGGGGGTTTGGAGGCTAGACGCTATAGTAGGGGGAGAAGGTTACAAGAGGAAAGGGGGAATGACTGCTATGTAAGGGAGAGAGGTTCAAAGGAAAGGGTGGAGGGACTGCCATGTAGGGGGAGGGGGTTCAGAAAAAGGGTGGGGGAAGACTGCTATGGGTAAGGGGAGAGGTTAAAAGGGGAAAGGGTGGGGGGCTAGACTCTATTTTAGGGGGGAAGGGGTTACAGAGGAAAGGGGTGGGGGACTGCTTAAGAAAGGGGGAAAGAGGTTAAAGGGGAAAGGGGGGGGAAACTGCTATGTAAGGGGGAGAGGGGTTTTACAAAGGAAAGGTGGGGGGGATGACTGCATGGTGGGGGAAAAGGTTACAAGGAAAGGGTGGGGGGACTGCTATGTGAGGGAGGGGGTTAAAAAGGGAAAGGGTGGGGGACTGGCTATGTAGAGGGAAGGGGTTTACAAAGGAAGGGTTTTAAAAGAGGGGCAAATTTAGAGGGAAAAATTTAAAAGGGGAAAAAGGGGGGGGGACTCTTATTAGAGGGAGAAGTTACAAGGGGAAAGGGGGAGGACTAGACTGCTATAAAAAGGGGAGAGAGGTTAAAGGGAAAAAGGGGGGGGGGCCCTATAAAGTGAGGGAAAAGGGGTTAAAAGGGGAAAGGGTGAGGGCTAGACTGCTATGGTGAGGAAAAGTTACAAGGGAAAGGTGGAGGGCTAGACTCTATTGAGGGAGAGGGGTTACAAAGGAAAAGGGTGAGGGACTAGATGCATGGTAGGGGGAGAGATTTTACAAGGGGAAAGGGGGGGGACTGCTATTAGAGGGAGAGAGTTCAAAGAAAAGGGTGGGGGGACTTGCTATGGAGAGGGAGAGTTTACAAGAGGAAAGGGGGGGGATAGACTTTTAAAAATTTAAAGGAAAAGGGGAGGGAAGAAGGGAGGTTACAAAAAAGGGGTGGGGACTCTATATATGGAGAGGTTACAAAAAAAGGGGTGGAGGGACTAACGCTATGAGAGGGAGAGGGGTTAAAAAAAGGGGGGGAAGACTGCTATTAGGGGGAGAAGGTTAAAAGGAAAGGGTGGAGAAGACTGCTTTTAAAAGGGGGAGGGGTTTTTTCCAAGGGAAAAGGGTGGGGGGCTGACGCTATGGTAAGGGGAAGGTTAAAAGGGGAAAAGGGGGGGGGACTAACTGCTTAGAAAGGGGGAAAAGGGGTTAAAAAGGGGAAAGGGGGAGGGACTGGTTTAAGTAGAGGAAGGGGTTACAAGGGGAAGGGTGGGGGGAAGATGCTATAGTAAGGGGAAGGTTACAAGGGGAAAGGGTAGGGATTTTGCTATGTAGGGGAAAGGGGTTAAAAGGGGAAAGGGTGGGGGGAACTGCTTGTAAGGGAGAAGTTAAAGAAAAAGGGGTGGAGAAAGACTGCTATTAAGGGAGAGGTTACAGGGGAAAGGGGTTGGGGGACTGCGATAAGAGGGAGGAGGAAACAAAAAGAAAAGGTGGAAGAACTGCTATAGTAAGGAGAGAGGTTACAAGAGAAAGGGTGAGGGACTAGACTGCTATTAGGGGGAGAGGGGTTACAAAGGAAAGGGTGGGGGCTGACGCTATAGTAGAGGGAGAGAGGTTCCCAAAGGGGAAAGGGGGGGGGAAACTGCTTAGTGAGGGGAAGGGGGTTTACAAAGGAAAAGGGGTGGGGGACTGCTATAAGGGGGAAGAGGGTTCAAGGGGAAGGGTGGGGGAAAAGCCATAGGGGGAGAGAGTTACAAGAGGGAAGGGTGGGGGGACTAACTCTATTAGAGGGAGAGGGTTTACAAAGGAAAGGGTGGGGGGGCTAACTGCTATTTAGAGGGAGAAGGTTACAAGGGGAAAGGTGGAGGACTAACTGCTATGGAAAGGGGAGAGAGGTTAAAGGGAAAAGGGGTGGGGACTCTTTTAAGGGAGAGGGGTTACAAGAGAAAGGTGGGGGACTAACGCATGAAGGGGGGAAAGATTTAAAAAGGGGAAAGGGTGTGGGGACGACTGCTATGGGAAGAGGAAAGAAGGGTTCCCCAAAAGGGGAAAGGGTTTTGGAAAAGGTTTTAAGACTGCTATTAAGGGAAGAGTTCAAAGGAAAGGGGGGGGGACAAACTGCTATTTAGAGGGAGAGATTACAAGGGGAAGGGGGTGGAGGGAAACTGCTATATAGAGGGGAGAAGGTTAAAAGAGGAAAGGGTGGAGGGACTAACTGCTTGTAGAGGGGAGAGAGGTTACAAGGGAAAGGTGGAGGGACGACGCTATGGTAGAGGGAAGGGGTTTAAAAGGGGAAGGGTGGAGGGGACTGCTATATAAGGGAAGGGGTTTACAAGAGAAGGGGGGAGGGACTTCTTTAGGGGGAAGAGGTTACAAGGGGAAAGGTGGAAAATTTTAATGTAAAGGGGAGGGGTTCAAAGGAAAGGTGGAGGGACAACTGCTATTAAGGGAAGGGGTTTCAAGAAAAAGGGTGGGGGGACTAGACTGCTATATAGAGGGGAGAGGTTAAAAGGAAAGGGTGGGGGGTAGCTTGTTAGGGAGAGGGGTTACAAGAGGAAAGGGGGGAGGGACGTTTTGGTAGAGGGAAGAGGTTCAAAGGAAAGGGGGGAGAACTGCTATAGTAGGGGGGAAAGGGGTTACAAGGGGAAAGGGTGAGGGATTTGCTATATAGGGGAAGGGGTTAAAAAAGGGGAAAGGGTGGGGGGACTGCTATAGAAAGGGGGGAGAGGGGTTAAAAAGGGAAAGGGTGGGGGCTAGACTGCTATGTAAGGAGAAGTTAAAAAGGGGAAAAGGGGGTGAGGGATTTGCATATGAGGGAGGAAGGTTACAAGAGGAAAGGGTGGGGACTGCTATAGTAAGGAAGGGTTCAAAGGAAAGGGTGGAGGGACTAAACGCTATAGAAAGGGGGAGGGGGTTACAAGGGGAAAGGGTTTTGGGGGGCAACCCTTTTTATGTAGAGGGAAGAGGGTTACAAGAGGAAAGGGTGGAGGGGGAGCTGCTTGTGGGGAGAGGTAAAAAGGGGAAAAGGGTGGAGGACTAACTGCTATAGTAGGGGGAAAAGGGGTTACAAGAAAAGGGGTGGGGGAAACTGCATGGTGAGGGAGAGGTTTCAGAAAAAAGGGGGGGGGACTAGACTGCTATTAGAGGGAGAGAGGTTAAAGGGGAAAAAGGGTGGAGGCTAGACTGCTATTTAGGGGAAGGGTTACAAAGGAAAAGGTGGGGGGACCGGGTTTAATAAGGGGAGGGGTTACAAGAGGAAAGGGGGGAGGGACTAGCTGCATAGTAAGGGAGAGGTTACAAGGGGAAAGGGTGGGGGGAGACTGTTATGAAAGGGGGAGAGATTTTACAAAGAAAGGGGTGGGGGACTAGACTGCTATAGAGGGGAAAAGGGGTTTACAATGGAAGGGTGGAGGGACTGTTTATGTAAGGGAGAGTTACAGAGGAAAGGGTGGAGGTGTATGTGGGGAGAAGGTTACAAAAAAGGGGTGGGGGGACTGCTATTAAGGGAGGGGGTTACAAGAGGAAGGGTGGAGGGACTAGACGTTTAAGTAAGGGAGAGAGGTTAAAAGGAAAGGGTGGGGGAAACTGCTATGTGAGGGAGAGGTTACAAGGGGAAAGGGTTGGGGGACAACTCTTTAAGGGGGGGGTTTACAAGAGGAAAGGTGGGGGGGTAACTGCTATAGTAGGGGGAGAAGTTACAAGAAAAAGGGTGGAGGGCTGCTTAGTGAGGGAGAGAGGTTACAAGAGGAAAGGGTGGGGGGAAGACTGCTATAAAGGGAAAGTTCAAGAAAAAGGGGGGGGGGCAACTGCTATGGTAAGGGGAGGGTTACAAGAGGAAAGGGTGGGGGACTCTATAAAGGGGAGGGGTTTTACAAGAGGGAAGGGTGGGGGGGGGACAACGCTATAAAAAAGGGAGATAGGTTACAAGAGGAAAGGGGGAGGGGACGCTATAGAAAGGGGAAGAGGTTACAAGAGAAAGGGGGGAGGGCTAATGTTTAAGTGAGGGGAGAGGTTACAAAAAAAGGGTGGGGGCTGACTCTATTTAGGAAGAGGTTCAAGGGGAAAGGGGGGAGGGATACTGCTAAAAAGGGGGAAAGGTTACAAGAGGAAAGGGTGGGGGCTAACTCATTAAGGGAGGGGTTTACAAAAAAAAGGGTGGGGATAACTGCTATAGTAGGGGGAAAAGGGGTTCAAGAGGAAAGGGTGGGGGACTGACTGTATTAAGGAAAAGGGGTTTAAAAGGAAAGGGGGGAAACTGCATAGTAGAGGGAAAGGGTTAAAAGAAAAAGGGTGGGGACTCTTAATAGAGGGGAGAGTTTTTAAAAAAGGTTAGGGACTCTTATTAGGGGAGAAGGTTAAAAAGGGAAAGGGGGAAGACTGCTATAGTAGAGGGAAAAGGTTACAAGGAAAGGGTGAGGGACTGCTCTTTAGAGGGGAGAGGTTACAAGAGAAAGGGGGGGGGGCCTGACTGCTATAGTAGAGGGAGAGAGGTTACAAAAAGGAAAGGGGTGGAGGGACTGACTCTATGGTAGAGGAAAGGGGTTTAAAGGGGAAAGGGGGGGGACTAACTCTATAGTAGGGGAGGGGTTTAAAGAAAAGGGTGGGGGCTGTTTAAGTAGAGGGGAGGGTACAAAAAGGGGGAAGGTAGGGACTCCTTTGAGGGGGAGAGGTTAAAAGAGAAAGGGGGGGGGAAACTGCTTTAGTAGAGGGAGAATTACAAAGGAAAGGTGGGGGGACTAGACTGCTATAGGGGGAAGGGGTTAAAAGGGGAAAGGGGGGAACTGCTATGAAAAGGGGAGAGAGTTACAAGAGGAAGGGGGGGTACTGCTTGTGAGGAGAAGGTTACAAGAAAAGGGGGAGGGACTGTTTCAAAGGAGAGAGTTTCAAAGGAAAAGGGTGGGGGACTTAAATTTAAAGGGAATTCCCAAAAGGGGTGGGGGGAAAGGGAAGGGGGAGGGTTACAAGGGGAAAAGTGGGGGGACTGACGCTATGTAGAGGAGAGGGGGTTAAAGGGGAAAGGGGGGGGGGGACTAAACTGCTATATAGAGGGAGAATTTACGGGGAAAGGGGGGTGGAGGACAAACTGCTATAGTAGAGGGAGAGAGGTTACAAGAGGAAAGGGTGGAGGGACTAGACTGCTATAGTAGAGGGAGAGAGGTTACAAGAGGAAAGGGTGGAGGGACTAGACTGCTATAGTAGAGGGAGAGAGGTTACAAGAGGAAAGGGTGGAGGGACTAGACTGCTATAGTAGAGGGAGAGAGGTTACAAGAGGAAAGGGTGGAGGGACTAGACTACTATGGTAGAGGGAGAGAGGTTACAAGAGGAAAGGGTGGAGGGACTAGACTACTATGGTAGAGGGAGAGAGGTTACAAGAGGAAAGGGTGGAGAGACTGCTATAGTAGAGGGAGAGAGGTTACAAGAGGAAAGGGTGGGGGGACTAGACTGCTATGGTAGAGGGAGAGAGGTTACAAGAGGAAAGGGTGGAGAGACTGCTATAGTAGAGAGAGAGGTTACAAGAGGAAAGGGTGGGGGGACTAGGTGAAGGTTCAGATCTCATGGAGAGTTACCCTCCTGTAGCTTATCAACTAGCTAGTTATTAGAATCAGGTACACTAGATTAAGGTTGGAGAGCCCTGTGTCAGATCATGCTGGATCTTCTGTCAAGTCTGTTGATTCAATCTTCTTCTGGTCGTGGGCCTGATTGGTGTCACACTTTTCCCCAGCCTCAGCTAAGACACCTGATAAAACTAATTGCATTCCGAGAAATACAGGATAACCTGGCCTAACCCTAACCCTAACCCTAACCCATTCCGAGAAATACAGGATAACCTGGCCTAACCCTAACCCTAACCCTACCCCTTAACCCTTAACCCCTAACCCTAACCCTAACCCTTAACCCTAACCCTAACCCTAACCCCATCTCTAGGTTAGACTCACCATGTTCATCTGAAAAACATAGTCACAATTACTTTTTTGAACAGCCAATAAAGCGTACACGTAACAAACATCCATTGAAGTATAGTCAATGTGTTCACTCATGGGTGCACTAGCAATGTCTGCCCGTCTGGACTTGAATGGGAACTGCCATCTAGGGATTATATGTCTGTGGTTGGTTGCAGCTGTCAGTTTGCTTTTATGCAAATTTCTAAATACAATTGCACAAAAAAAAAGTTTGGAAAGCAAACGCTGTCCTTACTAAATGTGTAATATGATATGTATTTTAACAAGATTATTTATGTTTTTGACACCTACAAATATTTTTATATAATACACTGCTCAAAAAAATAAAGGGAACACTTAAACAACAATGTAACTCCAAGTCAATCACACTTTTGTGTAATCAAACTGTCCACTTAGGAAGCAATACTGATTGACAATAAATGTCACATGCTGTTGTGCAAATGGAATAGACAACAGGTGGAAATTATAGGCAATTAGCTAGACACCCCCAATAAAGGACTGGTTTTGCAGGTGGTGACCACAGACCACTTCTCAGTTCCTATGCTTCCTGGCTGATGTTTTGGTCACTTTTGAATGCTGGCGGTGCTTTCACTCTAGTGGTAGCATGAGACAGAGTCTACAACCCACACAAGTGGCTCAGGTAGTGCAGCTCATCCAGGATGGCACATCAATGCGAGCTGTGGCAAGAAGGTTTGCTGTGTCTGTCAGCGTAGTGTCCAGAGCATGGAGGCGCTACCAGGAGACAGGCCAGTACATCAGGAGACGTGGAGGAGGCCGTAGGAGGGCAACAACCCAGCAGCAGGACTGCTACCTCCGCCTTTGTGCAAGGAGGAGCACTGCCAGAGCCCTGCAAAATGACCTCCAGCAGGCCACAAATGTGCATGTGTCTGCTCAAATGGTCAGAAACAGACTCCATGAGGGTGGTATGAGGGCCCGACGTCCACAGGTGGGGGTTGTGCTTACAGCCCAACACCATGCAGGACGTTTGGCATTTGCCAGAGAACACCAAGATTGGCAAATTCGCAACTGGCGCCCTGTGCTCTTCACAGATGAAAGCAGGTTCACACTGAGCACGTGACAGAGTCTGGAGACGCCGTGGAGAACGTTCTGCTGCCTGCAACATCCTCCAGCATGACCGGTTTGGCGGTGGGTCAGTCATGGTGTGGGGTGGCATTTCTTTGGGGGGCCGCACAGCCCTCCATGTGCTCGCCAGAGGTAGCCTGACTGCCATTAGGTACCGAGATGAGATCCTCAGACCCCTTGTGAGACCATATGCTGGTGCGGTTGGCCCTGGGTTCCTCCTAATGCAAGACAATGCTAGACCTCATGTGGCTGGAGTGTGTCAGCAGTTCCTGCAAGAGGAAGGCATTGATGCTATGGACCGCCCATTCCCCAGACCTGAATCCAATTGAGCCCATCTGGGACATCATGTCACGCTCCATCCACCAACGTCACGTTGCACCACAGACTGTCCAGGAGTTGGCGGATGCTTTAGTCCAGGTCTGGGAGGAGATCCCTCAGGAGACCATCCGCCACATCATCAGGAGCATGCCCAGGCGTTGTAGAGAGGTCATACAGGCACGTGGAGGCCACACACACTACTGAGCCTCATTTTGACTTGTTTTAAGGACATTACATCAAAGTTGGATCAGCCTGTAGTGTGGTTTTCCACTTTAATTTTGAGGGTGACTCCAAATCCAGACCTCCATGGGTTGATAAATTTGATTTCCATTGATAATTTGTGTGATTTTGTTGTCAGCACTTTCAACTATGTAAAGAAAAAAGTATTTAATAAGATTATTTCATTCATTCAGATCTAGGATGTGTTGTTTAAGTGTTCCCTTTATTTTTATGAGCAGTGTATGTAATCAGTCGTCTTCCTTAATGAAGGGGATGACTCAATCTCTGCGAGAGGGAGGGAATCTGATTTCAGTGGTCCTCAACTCGTGGCTCAGACATTTCATTCAGGATAAATGGAGTTAGCCCTTAGTTGCCTGCCCCGGAGCAGGTTAGTTTTGAAGGATTCGTTGCTATAGAGATGTACCTAGCTAAAAGGTGAGCCACTTTCATGGTACCAGTTATCCTGAGTTGAACCTTGCCTGATAACCCGACATTGAATTTAATTCTACATCAGGCTTTTGAATCAGGAAAGTTCCCTCGCACAACCTCCACAAGCCAGAATGTTGAATTAAATTATATTTTAACGTATTTTTCCGGTTGTCCTGCAGTTGGTCCTTTTGCAGGTAGGAATGTGAGACACTATATAGGAAAGTATAATTACATCAACTTTTCAAAGCGCTGGTCGCGCGTTCAGATTTCTATCACACCGAAGCATGTACACAAAAATTTATCCCGATTCAAACGCTAATTTCTGCCCGACGTAGAATTCAATGCATTTCAACGTCGGGTTTCCCGGCAAAGTTGAACCCGGAGTTTACTAAAGTTACCTCGCTAACACCTCAAATCTGATTCGTAGTATAGGGCTCAAAATGAAGCCCTCTGTTGCAGTCTCCTCTGTCCCACCACTACAGCACTGTGCTCCCAGTTCACCCCCAACAAGCTGATCTGTCAATGCATCCACACAAACAAAAATCTAAACGTACACTAAACACCATCTACAAACAATTAAACCAAATCAGTAATGTAGTGAAAGGTGAAGTGGGTCACCTCCTCCAGAACCTTCTCAAAGCCAGCTCACACCTGGGGGTGTTGCATTGGAGGGAGATGTACACATCACACACTGTTAGCTAGCTAACATTAACAGTCACTGCCCAGAGACAAACAAATAACCCTAACTATTTATCTTGGATAATTCTTACCTTAACATAATAAATAGTTAGTAGTGATGTTACGTTTGATACCAGAGCTCCGAGGCATGCGTTGAAATCGCTAAGCAGCTAACTTTGAAGCCTTCTTCATGTGGCTTTCCGGCAGACTAGACGCTATGTTGCGTATTGCGGCCTTCCGCAGATTGGAGGGCGGATTGCACATTTGTCACCCAAAAAAGGGAAAAGACGTAAAATTGCACCACCATCCAACCCTGCACCTATACACCATCCCTCAAAACTCACCACCCCATCCCACTACTTGGCCCTAAACGATCCTACACCAGGAAGTCGGCCTGGGAGGATGGAACCCCTTCTCTCAGAACTTCCTGTAGATCTACTGCACTAAAATCTCATCAAAACATTTCTCTGCTACTCTAACTACCTGATAGCAGGATTTGGTCATTACTCATTATTACACTCCACCTTATGACATGGGTTTGAATCATAAGACTACTACCTAGTAATGTGTGAGCGTAGGGCAAGTTGAGATTACATTGTGTTACTATTTAGCAATGTGAGTAGGAGTTAGACCAGACAACAAAGGACAAGGAGAGCTGGCTACAGACAACTGAGAAACCAAGATAAAGAGGCCTCCCAATATAGGGAGGAGAGAAACTGTTAGGCTTGGAAGAGAGTATGAAATATGTTGCAGGATATTGTGAGGACGGCGATAACTAAGGAATGCAGCCTGCCCGAGCAAGGAGTAGACTATGATAAGAACATGTGTGTGACCTGATGGTCAGGAGAGCAGAGGAAAACATGAGCTAAACCAATGGAAAAAATACAGCCCGCCTAAAGCGGGGTGGGATTTTTGTATGACGTGTGTATAAAAAGATGGACTCTGAAATTGTGATAACAGAATTCTCAATGAATAAAGATCTGACTATTACAACTGGGAGCTCTGTCCGTTTCTTGATCCAAAAGCCTTACAACCTTTTGGGAGACGCACAGAGACACTGAAATAGTTGAGTTCAACCATTGAGAGGAAATAATTATCTTAACACTACCACATCTATTTTCTGTGATTTCCGCTCCATCAGTGCAGTGCATCACTATAAACGCAAGAAATCCAACCTTACTAAAAAAAATAAACTACCTCTGGCTCTCTCTCTTCAGGCCTACTTACTGGGGGCCTCCAAGTCGACTCTTCACTGCCTCAGCATGGGAAACTTTGTGCCCCACTCAAACTCCGGCAATCTCAACCGGACTCCCTCACACAGGGCACTTCGGATCACCAGCTGCATGGGCACACCCACACTCTATCCCAACTGAACACACCCTCTGACTATGCCCTCCTGCACATTTCTCATGTCGCGGTATCTCCCTTCAACACAAAGCTGCACTATGTCCAAATCTTTGGCACCTAAAGCACCGAAGCGGGTTCAAAACATAGGCCCACACAGAATAGCAAATATCAACCTAACCTTATTGACCAACTCCGTGGCCTTGTGGTTAGAGTGGAAGGTTCTGAGTTCAATCCCTGGCCGAGTCAAACCCAAGACTGTAAAAGTGGGACAGGATGAGTCTCCGCTTGGAACTCAGCATTAAGGAGATAGGCGCTGCGATAGATTTATATACATTATATAGTTAAACTAGTTATGTAGTTGTAAGACCTTTTTACAGTTGTATAGTGTCTAAAGCTTAAACTGTTAAGGAGCTGCACCATTTTGAAAACCAACCACTTTAGGCTGCCATCGACAGCCATGTTTTATAGTTAACGCACAGTAATAAACCCTGGAAATAAACAAACTGTTAAATATTAGCTTTTGCCTGAAGCTGCAAAAGACTGTTTACAAACAATTGAGTTGAACAAGTAAATATTTGGGCTTATGATGGGCTATGACAATTGGACTAAGTTCATGAGCAATTTATTATAAGTTATACTCTTCAAGAATCAATGGGTGTGTAAATAATTTAGAAGTCAAAACAGAGATTTACCCTTAAAATCAGAGCCGCCGGAAAACGTGTAGAGAAGTGCAATTGGCATGCTGACTGCAGAAATGTCCACCAAAACTGTTGCCAGAGAATTGAATGTTAATTTCTCTACCATAGCCACCTTCAACATTGTTTTAGAGGCCTGCATACTCAGACATGTCACCCATTGAGCATATTTGGGATGCTCTGGATCAACATTTACAAGAGCATGTTCCAGTTCCCGCCAATATCAAGCAACTTCGCTCAGCCATTGAAGAGGATTGGGACAACATTCCACAGGCCACAATCAACAGCATGCGAAGATGTGTTGCACTGCATGAGGCAAATGGTATTCACACTAGATACCGACTGGTTTTCTGATCCACGCCCCTACCTTTTTGTAAGGCGTCTGTGACCAACAGATGCATATCTGTATTCCCAGTCATGTGAAATCCATAGATTAGGGCCTAATGAATTTAGATCCTTATAGGAACTGTAACTCAGTAAAATCTTTGAAATTGTTGCATTTATATTTTTGTTCAGTGTACAGAAGTAAACTTTCAATAGTGAACATACTAGCAATATGCTGGCTACTGTTGGTAGTCTTGTCTACTGTAGCCTGGTAGATATACAGTTGATGTAAAAAAAAGAACTCTAAATGACATGCTTTAGAAACAAAAATGAATGCAATTAATGCAGTGCAATTCTTAGAGTAATGACTTATTGTTCAATTCTATTAAACAGCTTCATAATAACCAAAGGTGGCAGCAGGTTGCCTAGTGGTGATCATTGGGCCAGTAACCGAAAGGTTACTTGTTTGAATCCACGAGCCGACAAGGTGAAACATTTGTCGACGTGCCCTTGATCAAGGCACTTAACCCTAATTGGTCCAGGGTTGCCGTTAATAATGGCACATTTTTTATTCACACATACAGTACATGTGTGAAATAGGACAAATAAGCACCCAACTAATTATTTTTTATGTATTATAAATGTAGCCTATTAATAGCTACATATAGAGTGAAAGCATGCCAATCAATAGGCCATGCATTACCCCAATACTTTTAAAAGCTACACCATGTCCGGAAAATTCTGTTTGGGTCAGTCGATTTTTTGCCAACTGGCCCAGTCATGTCAGTGAGAAAAGAAAGTTAGCATTGGACCCTGTCATAGCCTACAAATAGGACCCAGAGTTTTACCCAATCAACTCCAAGCCCCAGAAAACACACTAATTTTGCCACACCACTTTTAGGCTCTGTGGTGCCCCCTCTGCTTTAAATAACTTATGTCTCAAGAGCATAGCGTAACTGTCTTACCCTATCATTAGACAAAATAGAAGATTGCATTACTCCATTGTTTATAACTTAACTTGCCTAGTTAAATAAAGGTAAAATAAATTTAAAAAATAACAGGAACATAAACCATGTATAGCTTCAAAATATGTTCAAATGCTGTCAACTACCTTGTCCATTTCCCATCCGAGTAGGCTCATGTATTAGGCTGGGTCACATATAGGGTTAGGGTTAAGGAGCGGTTTCACAGACAGATCTCACTTAGTCCTGGACTATAAATGATTTTGGCTGGAGATGTTCATTGATCTGTTGGCTGGAGATGTTCTTTGATCTTATTTTTTCGTCCAGGACTAGGTTTAATCTGTGTCTGGGAAAACCTCTGCATAATATTTAAATGAGTGGAATGGGATGATGTCTTACATGTAAAAACACATGTACATTTCCAAGTACATTAAATGGGGTTAACCTACTCTAAAGAGTATGTATTAGGCTGTTTGAGAGAAGGTTTCAATCCTAATCAACCCATCTAATGTGAGTACATCTGTTGAAAAGTAGATAAATAAAGCTACAGTACTCAAGCTGCTTATACCGAAAAGCATTTAGTGCATAGGTCAAATTAGCTTTTGAATTTCCTTTCTTTTCCAGCTTCAGACAAAAGCTAATATCTAATTTAAAACAGTTTTTGTATTAATTTCTTTCAAGCCAAGACACGTTGAGAGTACCTTGGGCCTTGCAGCTGCGACCATCTAGTTCCAGCAGATATCCATGGTGACAGCGACACAGGAAGGAGCTGTGGGTGTTGAGGCAGGTGTGGCTGCAGACAGCTGGTAGGACCGTGTTACACTCATCAACATCCACACAGGACACACCATTGGACTGGAGCCGGAAGCCTGCAGCACAGATGCACCTCTGTGGGAGACAGAACATGTTACAATGTTACAGCCAAACCTCTGTAGGGCAACACGTTGGGGTTTGTTTTAACTCAACGGTCCAAGGGGTCTTAGGGCTTGTGGCATGGCCTAGGGCGTGTAGTTAGGGTGTGGCATGGCCTAGGGCGTGTAGTTAGGGTGTGGCATGGCCTAGGGCGTGTAGTTAGGGTGTGGCATGGCCTAGGGCGTGTAGTTGTTCATGTAGTTAGGGTGTGGCATGGCACTAGGGCGTGTAGTTAGGGTGTGGCATGGCCTAGGGCGTGTAGTTAGGGTGTGGCATGGCCTAGGCTTGGGTTATGGTGTGGCGCATGGCCTATGGGCGTGTAGTTAGGGTGTGGCATGGCCTAGGGCGTGTAGTTAGGGTGTGGCATGGCCTAGGGCGTGTAGTTAGGGTGTGGCATGGCCTAGGGCGTGTAGTTAGGGTGTGGCATGGCCTAGGGCGTGTAGTTAGGGTGTGGCATGGCCTAGGGCGTGTAGTTAGGTGTGGCATGGCCTAGGGCGTGTAGTTTAGGGTGTGGCATGGCCTAGGGCGTGTAGTTAGGAGGGTGTGGCATGGCCTAGGGCGTGTAGTTAGGGTGTGGCATGGCCTATGGCGTGTAGTTCAGGGTGTGGCATGGCCTAGGGCGTGGTTTTAGGGTGTGGCATGGCTAGGGCGTGTAGTTAGGGTGTGGCATGGCCTAGGGCGTGTAGTTAGGGTGTGGCATGGCCTAGGGCGTGTAGTTAGGGTGTGGCATGGCCTAGGGCGTGTAGTTAGGGTGTGGCATGGCCTAGGGCGTGTAGTTAGGGTGTGGCATGGCCTAGGGCGTGTAGTTAGGGTGTGGCATGGCCTAGGGCGTGTAGTTAGGGTGTGGCATGGCCTAGGGCGTGTAGTTTAGGGTGTGGATGGCCTAGGGCGTGTAGTTAGGTGTGCATGCTAGGGCGTGTAGGTTTAGGTGTGGCATGGCCTACGGGCGTGTAGTTAGGGTGTGGCATGGCCTAGGCGTGTGTTAGGGTGTGGCATGGCCTAGGGCGTGTAGTTAGGGTGTGGCATGGCCTAGGGCGTGTAGTTAGGGTGTGGCATGGGCTAGGGCGTGTAGTTAGGGGTGTGGCATGGCCTAGGGCGTGTTGTAGTTAGGGTTGGCATGGCCCTAGGGTGCATGGCCTAGGGCGTGTGTTAGGGCATGGCCTAGGGCGTGTAGTTAGGGTGTGGCATGGCCTAGGGCGTGTAGTTAGGGTGTGGCATAGCCTAGGGCGTGTAGTTAGGGTGTGGCATGGCCTAGGGCGTGTAGTTAGGGTGTGGCATGGCCTAGGCCGTGTAGTTAGGGTGTGGCATGGCCTAGGGCGTGTAGTTAGGGTGTGGCATGGCCTAGGGCGTGGCATGGGTCATCGTTAGGCCGTGGGTGTGAAAGATTCAGCAGGCTACTGGCATTACACATCTAGCTAAAAGATCACTGTAGCTCTGTTGGAATCACTTTAACAGATAACTGACACCTTCTGGAAACCGAAGATGCTCTACAGGAATGACGGAGTCCATCCAAATCATGTTGGCTCCTAGACTCGGTCCACGTATTTCAAAGCTATGTTGAGACAATGACTTAATGACTCAAGCCCAGCTCAGATAAATATCCCACATTATAATATGTAGCCTAAGAAACAAGGTTCATGAAAGTCGATAACTTGCTAGCAACAGATGACATTCATATTCTGACCATCTCAAACTCACTTAGATAATACCTTTGATGATGCAGTAGTAGCAGTACCGTCAATGGACGGGTGAGGTCGGGTGAGGTCGTCGGGTAAGCTTGGCTTTATACATAGTTTGGGCTTTGTCGAGTAAGGCTAAAACTATGTATTTAGATTGTAGTTAGGTATTGTAGGAAGTTATCGTGGGTTGTTGTATGTAATTATTGTAGGTTAGTATTGTATTCGGCTGAGCACGAAGCTAGCTGTATTCGGCTGAAGCTAGAAGCTAGCTGGCTAACCCACCACCTGGACTAGCTGGCGGATAGCTACTGGCAACTATTAGCAACGGTATAGTTGTTTCACGCCTGAGAGTGCCTGTAATTACGCCAGCTGGCTGCCTACAATAGTTACGTACAATAATTGCCTACCATTCAGCTGTTTTCTACCATTCAGCTGTTTTCTAACCTCATTGTCTGAACCGTTAACGCTAACTGGTAAACAATAGCTGGAACGACCGAGCGAGCAGACGCGAACTGGCTGAGTCAATTCAGTGACTAGCTTTGCACTTGGCTAGCTAACAGTAGCTGCTAGGGGTAAGTCATAACCTACATATGTATTTAGATTGTAGTTAGGTATTGTTGGTAGTTATCGTGGGTTGTTGTATGTAATTATTGTAGGTTAGTATTGTATTCGGCGGCGCCGGGCGTAGCACGAAGCTAGCTGGCTAACCCTCCACCTGGACTAGCTGGCGAGTAGCTATTAGCAACGGTATAGTTATTTCACGCCTGGGAGTGCCTGTGGTTACGCCAGCTGGCTGCCTACAATGATTACATACAATAATTGCCTACCATTCAGCTGTTTTCTAACCTCATGTCTGAACCGTTAACGTTAGGTAGCAAGTGGCTACTGTGCTTGAAATTTAGCTAGCTTGTTGCTACCTGGATAGCTACTAGTAAACAATAGCTGGAACGACCTAGCGAACAGACGCGAACTGGCTGAGTCAATTCAGTGGCTAGCTTTGCACTTGGCTAGCTAACAGTAGCTGCTAGGGGTAAGTCATAACCTACATTTGTGTTTTACATATTGATAGCCCGAGTCGTTCAGGGAATTCGGGACATGGGTGACTAGTTAACGTTAGTTTGGCTCTCTCTGTGTGTTCGTGCCGTTCGTGCTGCGCCTAGTTAGCTAGCTGAGTTAGTCTATTCATAGAAAACATTGAACCGCTGTAGTTTACAACAATTATAGTTTCTGAGGTGGAAGTTGGGAGAGTTATATTTGGGAGTTGTGGTGAGGGAGGCCCGCTCTCTCCTTTCCCAGATGTTTAGTTAATTTCATTCCGATCTCCTCTGCATTATTGTAGCCATTTGCTGCAGCCTGTCAACTATGCCTCTGCCTATCCCTGTTCTCTCCTCTCCGCACAGGCTACACAAACGCCTCACACCGCGTGGCTGCTGCCTCTCTAACCTGGTGGTCCCTGCACGCACCACTCACCTGGAGTTCCAGGTCTCAGGCAGCCTCTGGAACTGCCGTTCTGCTGCCAACAAGGCAGACTTCATCCCAGCCTATGCTACCCTCCAATCCCTCGACTTCTTGGCGCTGACGGAAACATGGATTACCACTGAAAACACTGCTACTCCTACTGCTCTCTCCTCGTCTGACCATGTGTTCTCGCATACCCCGAGAGCATCTGGTCAGCGGGGTGGTGGCACAGGAATCCTCATATCTCCCAAGTGGACATTCTCAAATTTTCCCCTAACCCATCTGTCTATCTCCTCATTTGAATTCCATGCTGTCACAGTCACTAGCCCATTTAGGCTTAATATCCTTGTCATCTATCGCCCTCCAGGATCCCTTGGAGAGTTCATCAATGAGCTTGACGCCTTGATAAGCTCCTTTCCTGAGGATGGCTCACCCCTCACAGTTTTGGGGGATTTCAACCTCCCTACGTCTACATTTGACTCATTTTTCTCTGCCTCCTTCTTTCCACTCCTCTCCTCTTTTGACCTCACCCTCTCACCGCCCCCCCCCCTACTCACAAGGCAGGCAATACGCTTGACCTCATCTTTACTAGATGCTGCTCTTCTACTAATCTCACTGCAACTCCCCTCCATGTCTCCGACCACTACTTTGTATCCTTTTCTCTCTCGCTCTCCTCCAACACTACTCACTCTGCCCCTACACAGATGGTAATGCGCCGCCGCAACCTTCGCTCTCTCTCTCCCACTACTCTCTCCTCTTCCATCCTATCATCTCTTCCCTCTGCTCAATCCTTCTCCCTCCAATCTCCTGATTCTGCCTCCTCAACCCTCCTCTCCTCCCTTTCTGCATCCTTTGACTCTGTGTCCCCTATCCTCCCGGCCGGCTCGGTCCTCCCCTCCAGCTCCGTGGCTTGATGACTCATTGCGAGCTCACAGAACAGAGCTCCGGGCAGCGGAGTGGAAATGGAAGAAAACTAAACTCCCTGCCGACCTGGCATCTTTTCACTCCCTCCTCTCTATATTTTCTTCATCTGTTTCTGCTGCTAAGGCCACTTTCTACCACTAAATTCCAAGCATCTGCCTCTAACCCTAGGAAGCTCTTTGCCACATTCTCCTCCCTGCTGAATCCTCCCCCCCCCCTCCCCTCCCCCTCCCTCCCTCCCTCTCTGTGGATGACTTCGTCAACCACTTTGAAAAGAAGGTTGACGACATCCGATCCTCGTTTGTTAAGTCTAATGACACTGCTGGTCCTGCTCACACTGCCCTACCCTATGCTTTGACTTCTTTCTCCCCTCTCTCTCCAGATAAAATCTTGCGACTTGTGACTGCAGGCCGCCCAACAACCTGCCCGCTTGACCCCATCCCCTCCTCTCTTCTCCAGACCATCTCCGGTGACCTTCTCCCCTACCTCACCTCGCTGATCAACTCATCCTTGACCGCTGGCCATGTCCCTTCAGTCTTCAAGAGAGCGAGAGTTGCACCCCTTCTCAAAAAACCAACACTCGATCCCACTGATGTCAACAACTACAGACCAGTATCCCTTCTTTCTTTTCTTTCCAAAACTATTGAGCGTGCCGTCTTTAGCCAACTCTCTTGCTATCTCTCTCAGAATGACCTTCTTGATCCAAACCAGTCAGGTTTCAGGACTGGTCATTCAACTGAGACTGCTCTTCTCTGTGTCACGGAGGCTCTCCGCACTGCTAAAGCTAACTCTCTCTCCTCTTGTCCTTCTAGACCTGTCTGCTGCCTTTGATACTGTGAACCATCAGATCCTCCTCTCCACCCTCTCCGAGCTGGGCATCTCCGGCGCGGCTCACTCCTGGATTGCGTCCTACCTGACCGGTCGCTCCTACCAAGTGGCGTGGCGAGAAGCTGTCTCCGCACCACGTGCTCTCACCACTGGTGTCCCCCAGGGCTCAGTTATAGGCCCTCTCCTATTCTCCCTATACACCAAGTCACTTGGCTCTGTCATATCCTCACATGGCCTCTCCTATCATTGCTACGCTGACGATACACAACTAATCTTCTCCTTTCCCCCTTCTGATAACCAGGTGGCGAATCGCATCTCTGCATGTCTGGCAGACATATCAGTATGGATGACGGATCACCACCTCAAGCTGAACCTTGGCAAGACGGAGCTGCTCTTCCTCCCGGGGAAGGACTGCCCATTCCATGATCTCGCCATCACGGTTGACAACTCCGTTGTGTCCTCCTCCCAGAGTGCGAAGAGCCTTGGCGTGACCCTGGACAACACCCTGTCGTTCTCCGCTAACATCAAGGCGGTGACCCGATCCTGCAGGTTCATGCTCTACAACATTCGGAGTGTACGACCCTGCCTTACACAGGAAGCGGCACAGGTCCTAATCCAGGCACTTGTCATCTCCCGTCTGGATTACGGGTGGCGCAGTGGTCTAAGGCACTGCATTGCAGTGCTAGCTGTGCCACTAGAGATCCTGGTTCGAATCCAGGCTCTGTCGTAGCTGGCCGCGACCGGGAGAACCATGGGGCGGCGCGCAATTGGCCCAGCGTCGTCCAGGGTAGGGGAGGGAATGGCCGGCAGGGATGTAGCTCAGTTGATAGAGCATGGTGTTGGCAACGCCAGGGTTGTGGGTTCGATTCCCACGGGGGTATGATTTTTTTTTTAATGTATGCACTAACTGTAAGTCGCTCTGGATAAGAGCGTCTGCTAAATGACTAAAATCTAAAATGTAAATGCAATTACTGCAACTCGCTGTTGGCTGGGCTCCCTGCCTGTGCCATTAAACCCCTACAGCTCATCCAGAATGCCACAGCCCGTCTGGTGTTCAACCTTCCCAAGTTCTCTCACGTCACCCCGCTCCTCCGCACACTCCACTGGCTTCCAGTTGAAGCTCGCATCTGCTACAAGACCATGGTGCTTGCCTACGGAGCTGTGAGGGGAACGGCACCTCCGTACCTTCAGGCTCTGATCAGTCCCTACACCCAAACGAGGGCATTGCGTTCATCCACCTCTGGCCTGCTGGCCCCCCTACCTCTGCGGAAGCACAGTTCCCGCTCAGCCCAGTCAAAACTGTTCGATGCTCTGCCACCCCAATGGTGGAACAAGCTCCCTCACGACGCCAGGACAGCGGAGTCACTCACCACCTTCCGGAGACACTTGAAACCCCACCTCTTTAAGGAATACCTGGGATAGGATAAAGTAATCCTTCAACCCCCCCTTACCCCACCCCAAAGAAAGAAAAAAAAACATATTGTGAAGTGGTTATCCCACTGGCTATAAGGTGAATGCACCAATTTGTAAGTCGCTCTGGATAAGAGCGTCTGCTAAATGACGTAAATGTAAATGTAAATGTAATGTACTAACCGGTCCATAAGGGGTGCTGACACAGTGCTGGTCACATTGGGGGGTCCCAGGGCTGGAGCAGTTCTTGATGAAACAGCCATGCCCCTCATCAGATCCATCAGGACAGTTGATGATGTGGTCACACAGCACAGAATGGTCCACACACTCTCCACTACCACACTGGTACAGCTGGTTGGAGCACTTAACCTGGCCACCTGCAGTACAACAACAGACTGGTCCACACACTCTCCACTACCACAGCTGGTTGGAGCACGTCACCTGGCCACCTACAAATGTAACCATAACCCTTTATTTGTGTAAGCTCACATCCGGCCTCGTCACTGTGGTCCTCACAGTCCTTCTGTCCATCACACCTCCAGGTCGCAGGGATACACTGACTCCTAGAGACACAGCTCCACTGGGACTCCCCACACCTCACTGGAGACACCTTACAGTTCTGAAACCACAACACCAATTTAAAAGGCTAAATATACAGACCAATGGAAAACGTTTCAAGCATGTTATTTCAACTCTTGCTTTAGGAAGAGAAGTACTGTAGTTGACCAAGAATTTAGAGTTAAGGTAAACAGGATAGTGCGCGATTAACCTAGCATACTAGTTTGCGAAACTACCTTCCTTAATACTGGTCGCAGAGCCAAAAAGAGTATCCATGAGTTCATCTGGCTGAGGGGAAGTAGGTTTGCACAGTCCTTTTAAAGTGAAGGTTAATGTTAGATGGGTTCCTCACCCTCTCATCTGAACCGTCCTGGCAGTCCTCTTCCCCATCACACAGCCACTCCTTCACCAGACATTCATGGCTGTTTGTGCAGCGGCGCTCCGGGGGACAGTGGGGGGGTTTGGCACAGCCCGCCTCATCAGAATGGTCTCTACAGTCAGCATGGCCGTCACAACGGAGACCCTCAGACACACACTGACCACTACTGCACCGATACTGCTGCTGACCACACAGCTTTGCCACTGGGAGGTGAGAGAGGAGACGGCGGAAACAGGAGCGTGATGGTGGCAAAGAACAAAGTAGAAACATGTTACAATGGAAATGGGTTGTGAACGTGGAATCGCGTTACAATGGAAATGGATTGTGAACAACTTGGAAACACGTTACCACGGAAATGGGTTCTGAACAACGTGGAAAGTCGTTACAATGGAAATGGGTTCTGAACAACGTGGAAAGTCGTTACAATGGAAATGGGTTCTGAACAACGTGGAAAGTCGTTACAATGGAAATGGGTTCTGAACAACGTGGAAAGTCGTTACAATGGAAATGGGTTCTGAACAACGTGGAAAGTCGTTACAATGGAAATGGGTTCTGAACAACGTGTAAAGTCGTTACAATGGAAATGTGTTTTTAGAGATGAGGCTCATACCACAGCCTTCCTCATCAGAGCCGTCCACACAGTCTCCCTCTCCGTCACAGAGGAAGGTTTCTGGGATACAGCGGCTCTTGTTGTCACAGCGATGGCTGCAGCTCTTGGTGGGCTTGAAGCAGTCCATTTCATCAGAGCGGTCCTGACACTGGGCCTTCCCATCACACACCTGCTGCTGGTCGATACACTTTTTCCCATGAGCACACTGGAACTGACCTGAGAGGAAGGAACCAATGAGATCACTGGCACTGAACTTAGGACGTTGACATAAAGGGATGGATTTGTACTGGAACGGGCTACTTATGATTAAACACATTAAACCAGATCAAGAGGTGAGCTTCTGACCTGCTTTGCAGAGCAGCTCACAGTCCTGTTCATCTGATCCATCCGTACAGTCCACCTCTCCATCACAAACATGGCTGTGCAGGACACACTCTCTCCCATCCTTACACAGTCTAGAGCCCATACGACACTTCAGCGGCGCTGCCTGGGATGTTGGCGCAGCTATCGTTGGACAGCCAACCTCATCGGAGCCGTCATTGCAATGAGAGCGTCCGTCACAAACCAGACTCCTCTCAATACACCTCCTCCTGTCCTTACATCGGAACTCACCTGGGAGACAAAGTATTTGATCCCCTGCTGATTTTGTACATTTGCCCACTGACAAAGAAATTAGTCTATAATTTTAATGGTAGGTTTATTTGAACAGTGAGAGACAGAATAACAACAAAAAAATCCAGAAAAACGCAAAATCAGCAGGGGATCAAATCACTGCAGGAGGGACCATGAAGAACACATAAGAGGGTTTATCACTAGACCCGCCACAGGCAAATGGACACTGACGTTTGATTTTGTACATAAAATCAATCAAATGTCCTGCTCCTTCCCTGACTTTTCCTAAATGTTTGTATTTTACACTGCTCATTTGTCCGAATTCTTTAAAATCACAAAACAGAAAAGTAGAGCCTTTTAAGCAGTATTTTTTCACACCTATTCCTATCTTTCCCCACCAAGACAATGTGCTGTAGAAGGTTGGTACCCAGCCAGGCGCTAAGTCTCTCCTCACTGAATGAATTACAAATGGATGATAATTGTGCACCTTACTTCAATTTAATTTAAGCCTAACTGAATGATAAGGAGGTTGATTTAATTTAGAAAGACTAGTGTTATGCCAATCTAAAATCAGCAGCAAATCATTTGACCACGCCTTGGGGGTTGATACCATTCTTTTACATTTTACTTTGTAAAGAAAAGCCGTGACGTGACTGTTTTATTTACTATAACTAAGGGAAACTAAAACATGCTACGTCACAGTAGGCCTGCAGAATAAATCAAAACGTATCCTTGATTACCCAGCTAAGCAAACGGTGCCAGCCCACTGAATGAATGACAAATGGATGAATGGGGGATAATTGTACACCTTACTTCACAACTGAATTTAAATTAGGCCTAACTGAATGAGGAGTGTGAAGATGATTTAATTTAGAACAATAGTGTAATGATGAGTTTGTGTTATGCATATTTATCAGCGTTGGTGCTCATGTTAATAATTTGACAGCGCGCCTTGCGGGTTGATACCATTCGCTTTTACTTTGTAAAAAGATGCTGTTACGGGACTGTTTGATTTACTGGAATTATTACTAATCAAATGTATTGTAAGGGAAATTAAAACCGGCTACGTGTTGCAGTAGGCCTTTAGAATAATGCAAAACATATCATTGACTCTATCCAATTTGATGAGCGAGAAACAAAGGATGCCAGTCAGCCTGCAGAGCCCATCGAAACTGCACCTAAAATAATTTCACACCAGATTAAATTGACAATAATCTGATGAACATATTATGCATTGTTACACTTACCTTTGTCAAATGAACTCATCATTCAAGAGGTGCAGCTCTATTTCCAAGTTTCACCTTTTCCAAGAATATCTATGCTGTCCATGCATTCAGCACATGACCACGCACGCGGCAGCTACTCAGCAAAAACGAGTAACATAAAACATTTAAAATGTTATTCTGTCGTCAATGGATGAAACCAAATGGAAACTGATAATGGTTCACGTGACTTCAATGAACTGAGTGATGTGGAGGATGATTGAATTTGATTGATCTGAATGATGAGGGTGAAGAGGATGATTGAATGTAGAACAATAGTGTATTGAAGAATTGTGGGCAGTTATTTTATAATGAAAAGGCTGGAATTTGTATATAATTTCCCCTGGGAGAGTCAAATCAAACACTGAATACAACTTACAATGTGTGTACTTCACAATGGCAAACTGAACCAAACTAATGGATGCACTAACAGCATTGCAAACGCTGCAGAATTTAGATGAGTTTGAGTCGGATATTGAGCTTGAAATCGACGTTGCTGACGAAGAGTCTTCATCTAATTCTGATGTTGACTTCGAGCCTCGCTTCCGATGCCTGAGCCTCGCCGTAGAAAAACCAGAACAGAGCCAACTGAGATTGTGATCCCAACTGCCTCTTCGAGGGATGGTTTGGGTAGAAGGCTTCCCAGAATATTCTCAGAGAGCAAGCCCTACACCTCACGCAAAGAGAAATTGCCAGCACACGCAGTTCTTTGTTGATGTGACATGCAGAAGTTGCAGCACAGAGATTGAACTGTCACTCATGCACACAGAAAAGGAAACCATATATGGGACAGGTCTATGGACCAACTCAAAGCATTTATTGCAGAAAGGGCATGGATGTAGAGTCATTTTGGTCTGATAGGTATGGGGTGGATTTTTTCAGAGAGACCATGCCATGCAACCGCTTCAGAGAGATAATCAAGACCTGTGTTTTGATGACAAGGAGACCAATCCGCGTGCAGACAGACAAGTTCACCGCCGTCTCAGAAACCTGGAGAAGTTGTGAAGAACTGTATTTTCTATTTGTATTTATTATGGATCCCCCATCAACTCCTGCCAATGCAGCAGCTACTCTTCCTGGGGTCCGGCAAAATTAAGGCAGTTAAACAATTTTAAAAACATTACAATACATTCATAACAGATTTCACAACACACTAAGTGTGTGCCCTCAGGCCCCTACTCCACTACCACATATCTGCAATACAAAATCCATGTGTACATGTGTGTATAGTGCACATGTTATCATTGTAGTAGTGGGGGCTGGTGCATTTTCATATATATCCATAAGGTGTATTTTAATCTGTTTTTAAAATCTGATTCTACTGCTTGCATCAGTTACCTGATATGGAATAGAGTTCCACGTAGTCATGGCTCTATGTAGTACTGTGCGCCTCCCTTAGTCTGTTCTGGGGACTGTGAAGAGACCTCTGGTGGCATGTCTTGTGGGGTATGCATGGGTGTCCGAGCTGTGCGCCCATAGTCTGTTCTGGACTCGGGGACTTGTGAAGAGACCTCTGGTGGCATGTCTTGTGGGGTATGCATGGGTGTCTGAGCTGTGTGCTAGACGTTTAAACAGACTGCCCGGTGCGTTCAACATGTCAATACCTCTCACAAATGCAAGTAGTGAAGAAGTCAAACTCTCCTCCACTTTGAGCCAGGAGAGATCGACATGCATATTATTAATGTTAGCTCTGTGTACATCCAAGTGCAAGCTGTGCTGCCCTGTTCTGAGCCAATTGCAATTTTCCTAAGTCCTTTTTTGTGGCACCTGACCGCACTACTGAACAGTAGTCCAGGTGCGACAAAACTAGGGCCTGCAGGACCTGCCTTGTTGATAGTGCTGTTAAGAAGACAGAGCAACACTTAAAGACAGACTTCTCCCCATCTTAGCTACTGTTTTATCAATATGTTTAGACAATGACAGTTTACAATCCAGGGTTACTCCAAGCAGTTTAGCCACCTCAACTTCCACATTATTTATTACAAGATTTAGTTGAGGTTTAGGGTTTAATGAATGATTTGTCCCAAATACAATACTTTTAGTTTTTGAAATATTTTAGGACTAACTTATTCTGAAACTAACTGCAGCCACCCATTCTGAAACTAACTGCAGCTCTTTGTTAAGCGTCGCAGTCATTTGTCGCTGGCGTGCATAGTGTTGAGTCATCCGCACACATACACACTGGCTTTACTCAAAGCCAGTGGCATGTTAAAGATTTTTTTTAAACTATCGTTTTATCAATTTCTCTCAGCTAGTCAGTCATTTGTGTAAGTGCTGTGCTTGTTGAATGTCCTTCCCTACAAACGTGCTGAATGTCTTGTTAATTAGTTTACTGTAAAAATAGCATTGTGTCTGGTAAAACACAATCTTCTCAAAAACGTTACTAAGGGTTGGTAACAGGCTGATTGGTCAGCTATTTGAGGGTTGGTAACAGGCTGATTGGTCAGCTATTTGAGGGTTGGTAACAGGCTGATTGGTCAGCTATTTGAGGGTTGGTAACAGGCTGATTGGTCAGCTATTTGAGCCAGTAAAGGGGGCTTTACTATTCTTAGGCAGCGAAATGACATTTGCTTCCCTCCAGGCCTGAGGGCACACACTTTCTAGTGGGCTTAAATTGAAGATATGGCAAATAGGAGTGGCAATATCGTCCACTGTTATCCTCAGTAATTTACCATTCAAGTTGTCAGACCCCGGTGGCTTGTCATTATTGATAGACAATTGTCACCTTTTCCACACTCACTTTACGGAACTCAAAATTACAAATGTCGTCTTTCATAACTTGGTCAGATATACTTGAATGTGTAGTGTCAGCGTGTCATGCCTAAGTTTGATAATGTGACGGACTACAAAGGGAAACCCAGCCGCGAGCTGCCCGTGACGCGAGCCTACCAGACGGATAAATGCCTTTTATGCTCGCTTCGAGGCAAGCAACACTTAAGCATGCATGAGAGCACTAGCTGTTCTGGATGACTGATCACGCTCTCCGTAGCCGATGTGAGCAAGACCTTTAAAACAGGTCAACATTCATAAGGCCGTGGGGCCAGACGGATTACCAGGACGTGTACTCAGCGCATGCACGGACCAACTGGCAAGTGTCTTCACTGACATTTTCAAACTCTCCCTGACCAAGTCTGTAATACCTACATGTTTCAAGCAGACCCCCATAGACCCTGTGCCCAAGAAAGCAAAGGTAACCTGCCTAAATGACAACAGCCCCGTAGCACTCGCGTCAGTAGACATGAAGTGCTTTGAAAGGCTAGTCACTGCTCACATCAACCCGGAAACCCTAGACCTACTCCAATTCGCATACCTCCAACAGATCCACAGATTATGCAATCGCACTCCACACTGCCCTTTCCCACCTGGACAAAAGGAACACCTATGTGAGAATGCTGTTCATTGACTACAGCTCAGCATTCAACACCATAGTGCCCTCAAAGCTCATCACTAAGCTAAGAACCCTGGGACTAAACCCCTCCCTTTGCAACTGGATCCTGGACTTCCTGACGGGCCACCCCCAGGTGGTAAGGGTAGGCAACAACACATTTGCCACACTGATCCTCAACACGGGGGCCCCTCAGGGGTGTGTGCTTAGTCCTCTCCTGTACTCCCTGTTCACCCACGACTGAGTGGCCAAGCACGACGCCAA